TTGAAAATATACGGACGCGCCTTTTTTCAGTAGCGGATATTTTAAATCTGGTACTTATTGCCGGAATCCAAGCAACAGCAAAGCTTTATGTGGAATTTCCAGTGCCTTATCTTCTTTTAAATCCAAAAACTCCAACTCGTCTTCGCTTTTCTTAAAAAGGAGTATTTCGGATATTGTAAATTCATCCTCATTTATGATACATAACAAAGGGATTATGAAGTACGCAAACGTACATTTAAATAATTTCAAATCGGCAAATCTTATTCAAAATCTGCTTTTAAAACATGTGCAACATTTTTTCTACACTCAGAAAAAGGTTTAGTTATAATTACCAAGATTTGGATATAGTGACCCAAGTGGCATAGTTGGATTTGGCGAAATAAATATCTAGTTTGCGAAACTCTGCACTTTACTTGAGACTTCTAGTTGGGACAAATGTATATTTGTTAATAATTACAAAACGACTTCCTTGAGTGGACAATATTGTTAGTTGAATAAAATCATTGTTGGTTGATACAAGTTTTCAATTAATTTTGTGAACTTGCTGTAGACGTGAATCAGCTAACCGTTTATTATTGGAAAAAAGGTTTCAGTTTGACACAAATAAAAATTTACTCGATGGTTGTTGTGTTTACTTTCTTCTTTTATTTGCATATATTAAGCATAAAAAACATACATATTTACATAAATAGTTACTATTGTAAATAATACATATGTATATGGTGGTAAGAATTTCCTAAAAAGAAACGATGAAACAGCAACAGTCGTGCGAAAACCCAGATCAATATCTGCTGGAAATGCTGGTTTAAGTATACTGCTTTGCTTTTTCCGTGGCTAAATAGATATTTTCAAATAATATTCACATGAATTATATATCCACTGAGAAACCCCGGTTGGCATCAAAATTTATATTTTTAAATAACTATGCGCACACCGAAACAACTCGCGGCGATGGCAAAACTGAAACAAACAAGTCTGGGCATATCATATCACACACTTTTCTTTCCCTACCTAGCGCAGGGATCGACATGCCATAGCTCACTGAGCGCTCTATGACCACACGCGTGTTTCACCCATATACGAACAGTGGTAGCGGAGCAATGAGTTCCACGCATACAGTCTCATTCATTGAATCGTTTTTATACAATGGTCGGCATACTAGCGCATTCAAACGATTCAATAAGTGGGACTGTGTGCATTGCTTAGCTGGCGCTCTTCGTATGTGAAACATACATGCGCTCAGAGAGCGCTGAGCATTATTTAGGGGTAGCTCACAAGCCTGAATATGTTCCGCTCTCAAACCAAATCGTGTTTGCCTCAACTAAGATTTGGTAATTATGACTAAACCAAGTGTTGAAAGAAAGCTTATATGTATTAGCAGAGCTTAATGACATCCTTTTATGAACCATACGTTAAGTTGAATAGAATTTGTAGAAATATGCTTCAAAAAAATATTTATTAATATTTACCAAACCCTTCAACTAAATTAACGATTTGGCACAACCTAGACGAATATTAGAAGCTTTAATATATTTAGTTATAATTACCAACCCATGGTAATAGTTCCCAATCCTTAGTCACAGTTCCCAAATATTGTCAAAATTCGGGAACTAAATATCTTTAGTTGTCGAAACTAATCCTTTTTCTCAGCATTCTCAGAGCATTTTGCTTTTACAGATTTTCATTCCTTTCGTATTGTCAAGCGGGGTAAAAATAACATTTAAATAAACCCTCCAAATTACAACTTTATTTAAATGTTTTTGGTAAGAAATAAAAATGGAGAAGCCAACGCCAACTAAAATGATGCTATCGCCACTAGATTTTCTGGGAGCGCTAAAGTTCCGCCACAAGAAGGAGCATCGGATACCGGCGAATCTTTTACAGAATATTTGACTCGTATGTTCGACAAGAGGTTAAGGGCTTTGATGGATTTTTCAATTAAAATACAGTTCATTCCCTAATAACTATAAAACTACACTGAGAAAAAGAATTAGTTTCCCGAATTTTGACAATATTTGGGAACTGTTACCAAGGATTGGGAACTATTACCATGGGTTGGTTATTATGACTAAATATATTAAAGCTTTTAATATTCGTCTAGCTTGTACCAATTCGTTAATTTAGTTGAAGGGTTTGGTAAATACTAATAAATATTTTTTTGAAGCATATTTCTACAAATTCCATTCAACTTAACGTATGGTTCATAAAAGGATGTCATTAAGCTCTGCTAATACAGATAAGCTTTCTTACAACACATGGTTTAGTCAGAGTTACCAAATCTTAGTTGAGGAAGCCACGATTTGGTTTGAGAGCGGAACATATTCATGCTTGTGAGCCACGCCTCAAGAATGCTGAGCGCACATGTGTGTTTCACATACGAAGAGCGCCAGCTGAGTAATGCACACAGTCCCACTTATTGAATCGTTTGAATGTCTAGTATGCCGACCATTGCATAAAAACGATTCAATCAATGAGACTGTGCGTGGAAATCATTGCTCCGCTACCGCTGTTCGTATATGGGTGTAACACGCGTGTGGTCACAGAGCGCTCAGTGAGCTATTTAAAAATATAAATTTTGATGCCAACCGGGGTTTCTCAGTGGATATATAACTCATGTGAATTATAATTTGAAAGTATCTATTTAGCCAAGGAAAAAGCAAAGCAGTATACTTAAACCAGCATTTCCAGCAGATATTGATCTGGGTTTTCGCACGACTGTTGCTGTTTCATCGTTTCTTTTTAGGAAATTCTTACCACCATATACATATGTATTATTTACAATAGTAACTATTTATGTAAATATGTATGTTTTTTATGCTTAATATATGCAAATAAAAGAAAGTAAACACAACAACCATCGAGTAAATTTTTATTTGTGTCAAGCTGAAACTTTTTATCCCATAATAAACGGTTAGCTGATTCAAGTCTACAGCAAGTTCACAAAATTAATTGAAAACTTGTATCAACCAAAGCATTGTTTATATTTGCTCAAAAATGATTTTATTTAACTAACAATATTGTCCACTCAAGGTAGTCCTTTTGTAATTATTATCAAATATACATTTGTCCCAACTAGAAGTCTCAAGTAAATTGCAGACTTTCGTGAACTAGATATTTATTTCGCCATATCCAACTTTGCCACTTGGTCACTATAACCAAATCTTGGTAAACATAACTGAACCTTTTTCTAAGTGTATACATATGTATTATTTACACTAGTAACTATTTATGTAAATATGTATGTATTTTTATGCTTAATATATACAAATAAAAGAAGAAAGTAAACACAACAACCACCGAGTAAATTTTTATTTGTGCCGAACTGAAATTTTTTCCAATAATAAACAATTAGCTGATTCAGGCCACAATAAGTTCACAAAATTATTTGAAGACTTGTATGAACCAAAGCACTGTTAATATTTGCTCAACAATGATTTGATTCAACCAACAATATTGTCCAGGCAAGATAGTCGTTTTGCAATCATTAACAAATATACTTTTGTCCCAACTAAAAGTCTGAAGTAAATTGCAGACTTTCGCGCACTAGATATTTATTTCGCCATATCCAACTATGCTACTTGGTCACTATAACCAAATCTTGGCAATTATACCTTTTCTGGGTGTAGTGAAAAGCTTTTCCACCATTTTTTTGTGTATCGTTGGACATTTTGGCATTTCTGAATCGTGTAGAATTTAGACATTTGCTGAATACTTAAGCACTTTAGTGTAATATTTAGCATTTATAAAATACCTATTTTTTTGTGTAGTGAAAACAGAGGCATAATTGGGATACCCATGGCAACCTGCAAATTAGAACTTAGAAATAACATTATCAAAGAGGCCAACAGATCATGGCTAGAAGAGGGCGCTTGTAGAACAACCAAGCTACCATGGCCATAAATAGATAAGAAAAGGACGAAAATTTTGCTCAACTTCTAAAGAGAGGATATTGCGATGGTCATGGTACACTCAGAAAAAGCTTTAGTTATAATTACCAGAATTGGTTATAGTGACCAAGGGGCATAGTTGGTAAGGTAGACAATATTGTTAGTTGAATAAAATCATTGTTGAGCAAATATAAACAATGCTTTGGTTTTTAATTAATTTTGTGAACTTGCTGTAGACTTGAATCAGCTAACCGTTTATTATTGACACAAATAAAAATTTACTCGGTGGTTGTTGTGTTTACTTTCTTCTTTTATTTGTATATATTAAGCATAAAAAATACATATGTACATATATACATAAATAGTTACTAGTGCAAATTATACTTATTTATATGGCGGTAAGAATTTCCTAAAAAGAAACGATGAATCAGGAACAGTCGTGCGAAAACCCCGGTCAATATCTGCTGGAAGTGCTGGCTTTGCTTACTGCTTGGCTATTTCCTTGGCTAAATACACTTTCAAATTATAATTCATGTGAATTATATATCCACTGAGAAACCCCTTTTGGCATCAAACTTTATATTTTTAAACAACTATGCGCACACCGAAACAACTCGCGGCAATGGCAAAACTGAAACTGAGACAAACAAGTCTGGGCATGCCATAGCACACACTTTTCTTTCTCTACCTAGCGCAGTGATCGACATGCCATAGCTTACTGAGTCCTGTGACCACACGCGTCAAAACTCGGGAACTAAATATCTTTAGTTGTCGAAACTAATTCTTTTTCTCAGTGTAGTTTTATAGTTATTAGGGAATGAACTGTATTTTAATTGAAAAATCTTAAATAATGGTACGGTCTTGCTTTTAAACTACACTACTACTTCATTAAATGTTCACTTTTTATTCAAGTATTTACATATCTATGTAAGTTAACAAAATATGTAACTACATCAATTATTATGTTGGCTTAAGTACCCGCATTTTTTTAACTAGCCAACCCGCCTAAGTACCTCAAAAAGCTGACATTTTTCGTGAGCTACTTATGTATTTATAAAATGGGTTTACAGCTTTTCATTTTTTATTCTAATAATGTAATTGTTCTCTTTACAGATTCTTCAATATATGGTTATGATATATTCGGAGGAGCACCGAATTTTATATGTGATATGAGCAGAGCTCTTAGAAAAAGTTCAGTATCTAATTCGATAACGAACAAAAAACAATTAAATTCGTATGTAGAGGCGGGCAATAATTGTAAGACTATGATGGAAAATTGTGCAGTCGTGCTTGACAATATTGGCCGATTTAACTCTGTTCGATTGTATAATGACAACAAGCCGGAAATTTTGGTAGAAAATTCGGACAGCGAAGGGGAAATATTCGAATTTGAGGAGGCAGATATTTTGCTACCACCCTTATATTTACTCAAAGACGAAGGCACTGACAAATGGGTTCTGTTGAGTGATTTGTGCAACTTGCTCAAAGTAAAATCTAAAGATACTCTTTTGAATAAGGTGAGTGGCATAAATTTACTAATTAATTCGTGTACTTGATACCAACGGAATACTTCTTTGTAGATATATCCACCTTCTTCATCAGCGTCTTCCGCACACAAAAGTCTGATGAGGGAACTTAAGCTGTCAGATTTTTTGGAGAGAGCAACGTGTTTGCAACTTCTATGCGCTGGGGAAAAAATAAATATATGCGCTTCAAAGGTTGTTTTGATTAAATACAACGATAGCGTTCGAAATTTATTAGGTGTAAAAACAATATTGATGAAGTTTTAAAAAAAAGTAAAATAAATTATGTGTAAAGAACGTGATACTAAGGTGCTATACGAAAAAGATTTTGAATGAAGTGTAGATAACCTGCATATTTAAGTAAATATGTTTTAATATAAAATGAGAATAATCAAAGGAAATATTATTAAAAAGATTGTAAAAAATGTGAGGGAAGCAAAGGAAGAGCATATAATTGTAAATGTATTTGTAAGTAGTAAGATACGAAAAATTATGTTTATGACCCACAATTAATTATAAAAGTGCATAATATTTTCATAATATAAAGAGATGCCGTTTTAATACAAAGTGTACGCTAATTTTTAATATTAAAAATAACAGTTTGATTTCAAATACAAATTCATAATTGGAAGTGTTTGTCTTAATTTACTCTCACGTATATAACCATTCGCCATACAGGTATTAGTTCTGTTCGCTATGCAAAAAACTTGTTCAAGCATGTACCAATTGTTACCAAATCGAGTTCGTTTGGTCCAAAAACTTGAAAAACTGGCAAGGAGAGAGCACAATTTTGGCACTTCATTTGGAGGGGAGGTACAAATACGTGGTGCGAAAATTTTTGCCAGCAAAAATTTGCAAGCGGGTTTGCGGCACACGGTAGCATTTTTGTTAACAATAATTTGAATAAACAAGCACGGGGCTGAAAAAGCTGTTCACGCAATCGGAACGCAGTCGACACCACTGTCGATATAGGAAATCCGACAGTGACTACCACAAATAAATTGAAGCGTATGCTGAAGACAATCTGAATAAGAAGAAATATACGTATAGGTCCTGGTTTGCTTTCCACTTGAAATAATTAAAAATATATATATTATGTTCGAAATACAACCGTGGACGCTAGCTGGCAGTGAAGCTTGCAAATTTCTGTTCCCGCTAAACTGGGTAAGTTTCTCTCTGTGGGAGAGTAAAAGCATAAACAGACGGCAGCGTTGATCCGGATCAACTCGTTAATTCGGAATTATCTCGAGAATTAACTGCAGTTGATCCGAATTAAGTCCTAGAGATAATTCCCAAACTTAACTCGGCTCAAGGGAATTTTCGATGGCAACACTGACCAAAACTCAGAGAGCGTAGAATACAGGGAAAATGCAAAATTAGACTGCATCATTCAATGATCAATAGGTAAAAAACAGCATCAAAAATCTCATTCTTACGATTCCGTTGACAAGATTTTTAAATATTTGTATGCAAATTTTTTAAGCTTAATCTGTTTTGTCATCTGAGGGGACTGTTTTCAAGAAGTTCTTTAAGAAACTACTTTTATTCATAAAATCTCCATTTTTGGAGGTATTTCCAAATCGGTCCAGCTCACTTAAATCCTAATATTTTTACGAAATATTTTGGTGGACGTCTTAAAATATAATAGATTTTGTAATCCTGGCGGAAAAACCGCAACTTTTTTTGGTGATGCAGTTTAATGGACATATACCTTTTCGTCGGTAATACAGTCACTAATACTAATTCAAATAGGAATCCAATTTAAAATGAATAAGAACTTATTTCGGTGACTGCATTACCGACGACAGGGTGGATGTCTATGCTAGTTTTGCAGTTTCTTTGTGTTCTACGCTAACTGAGCAAATAAAGCGACGGGTTCCTTCATCCGTGGTAGCCGAGTGGTGAGAGCTGCGTACTACAAGCCTGTAGGTCCCAGGTCGATCCTCGGTTGGAGCGATTGCCAAACAAATTTTGTTTTTATTATTTCTTTTATTTTTCTAAATTTTATTTGATTTATATATTTAATTGTTTTTTATTTTATTTTTGTTTGTTTTATTTTATTTCACATTTTTTATTTATTTAAATTTTTAGAATTTAATTTTACTAAAAAAGTCAAAAACAACTAACTAAAACGAACTTAAAAAAAATATAGTCATAATTGAACCAACAAAAAAAATTAAATGAATATTCTACTGGCCGTGGGATTCGAACTTACGACCTCGCGGTTCGTTAGTCTGCATTACTGCCGTCTGTCAAGGCAAAATTTTGATCAGATCAATTGCGGCGTTAATCCGGATCAACGTTTTCGTCTGTCTATGCTTTAAGATACCTTATTCTCTGAATTTTGTTGCTGGCTAATTTTTATTGTCTTCTCCAAACGAACACAACTATTGCTAAACTTCAGCGTGGTTAAAATTTCTCCCGGGTTTACTTTGTAAAAGTTCTGTTAAGTAGCTGTTAGGCGTGGCAAGTGCAAGTCCCTTGCACAAGTCTGTCAAACTCAAGAGTTTTTATTTCCGAAAATCAAACTTTCCGACACTACTTTTTGTCTATTTACACAGTGAATGTAAACGATTCCACTTTCACCTGTCTGGTAAAGACATTTGTATGCTCATAACAATATTACTGACCTGAAAGATTTGTAAAAAATGCTAAAATGCGCACAAAACAACCACAAAATGTCTAATGCTTATATATCTAAATTGTTCATATCAGGAGAATACATTAATTGCAAGTATTTTATTGAATTTGCAGCATTTTTAAAATCTTATACAAATTCGGCGAAAATCGCGTTACCCGACCAAGGGCTGTTGTTTCGACGATCTAACCCCGTTTAGGTCGGTGAAATATCTCAGAAGTTGTTCGTCCATAGGGCTACATCTACTACGTAGTCTTCTGCTCAGGGCTGACATCAAATCAAACCCTGGGCCAGAAACTTACACCTGCTGTGTATGCCAAAGACGTCTACACCACAACTCCACCTCAGTCAAGTGCAATGCTTGCAACGGGTGGAGTCATCTCAGAGTCTGCTCAGGCCTACGGACTCATCGGCGGTGGACCACATCATTTGTGGCCCCCTGCTGCTCAAACAGAGCTGCCTCCACGGCCAACCCCAGTCCACCTAAGCATGTCAACACAAACACCACAGCACCACAACACAACACAATAGACCACACCACCCCAACGACAGACCACACAACCGCACGACCACCCACACGCCGCGCCAACAACTCCTGGTTCCGTAATGTGACATCAGTCAAGTGCAACACCTGCCATGGCTGGTGCCATGGCCCGTTTTGCGTTGCACGGTCGCAAGCCCCGATTGCGACGCCACCCACTACCACCACAGGGTGGCACCCTCCACAGCAGCGCACAGAGTCAATGACGGCCAGGCAACACACTCCCCTCACCCCCGCATAACAACACGTCTCCCGATCCCTACGAAGCTCCTTCAATTCAACTGCAACGGACTTTAGAGCAAGATCGAGGAGATAACCGTCTTCATGGGAAGGCATGGAATATTGATAGCGGCGGTCCAAGAGGCGAAGTTGCATGGCAATTCAACATTGTTCAATTGCGCTGGGTACAACGTGCACCGTCGATATCGCGACCGAGATAATGGTGGTGACTTTGTGTTCATCACGCACCACACCGTGCATTGACCGCACGGATACCATCCTAGAATCTCGGGGCATTGCTATCCGGTCAGGCAATGTCGAGCTCGAAATATTTAACGTTTATATACCCCCTGTTACTAGTTGACCAGCAAGATATCACCCTGAAATAGGTGCGCTCCTCAGAGGTGAAAACCGTATGAATTCACTGAATTTACTGAAAGCACCTTCGCTGCCCTTCCCACACCAACCGACGTTCACCTAGGCGAACGTAAGTTCCGCAGGGCTGCCACTGCTGCTGCAGCTCGCTTCGTACCAGCAGGACGCAAAACGGACCCCCGTCCAAACTTTTCTGCTGAAGCGGCTGTTTTAGCCGATGGGCGTGGCAACCTTCGCCACGCCGATCCCGGAAATCCCCGTATCAGGGATCTCGACATGGAGATTCGGCAGCTTGTGAACGTAAATAAGCGGAAAAAGTGGGAAGAGCATCTGAAGCCTTGCAACTTCACCTCTTGTGTGAGTAAGCTTTGGTTAACCGTGAGGTCACTGTCCAATCCGACGAAGCGCGACGACAGGGTCGAAATATCTTTCGGCGACTGTGCGTCGTCAAGCCCGGAGCGATGCGCGAGCTATTTTAGCCGACCAGAAGGCTGCACAAACTGCCAACAACTAAGCCATCCAAAGCCATGGGAACCGACGGAATATGCCTGTTGATGCTGATAAATGTTGGTGCTGCGGGAATAGACTATTTAGTCAAGGTTCTCAACCTGCCGATGGCCACTCTCGTCATTCCAAACATCTGGAGAGTGGTACCACTGCTCAAACCGGGGAAACCATCCAACAAAGGAGACTCTTGTCGTCCGAAAGGAGTGTCCTTTGCCCGGTAGCGAAGACACTAGAGGCCTTCTTGCTACTCCCATGTTTTACGAACCACCTGACCCCAGCGAAGCATCAGCATGGTTTCCGTAAATTGCACAGCACAACAACAACCAAACCAAACCACCAAACACCATAACATTCAGATAACACGTGCCCTAAACCGCAACCGCTCTTGTGAGAAAACTATTCTATTAGCGTTGGATCTTTCAAAAGCGTTTGATACAGCCAGTCACTCCACACTGCTAGAAAACATGGAGGCCTCCTGTCTCCCACAGAGGCTCACACGGTGGTCGGCGAATTATCTGAGTGGTCGACACTCGTCAGTAATGTTTAGAGACAAATTGAGTAAACCTAGAAAAATAAAACAGGGGGTTCCACAGGGTGGTGCCCTCTCCCCATTACTGTTTAACTATTATATTTCCAAGTCCCTCAACCACCAGAGACCGTCTCGATTGTCTCTTACGCTGACGATTGTTCGATAATGGCGTCTGGGAATGTAATTGATGACTTGTGCTCGAAAGTAAACGGGTATCTTTCCGAGCGTCCTCGCTTCTTCACCGCTAGGAGCCTAACCCTCTCCCCTAAAAATCTTCTGCGGCCTTGTTTACCACCTGGACGAAGGAGGTCAGACTACCGTTGGGTATTCACCTTGACACCAATTCCGACGGTGAATAACCCCAAAATACTCGAAGTAACCTTTGACAGTATGCCATCCTCCGCGCACGCAACCGCAATTGTCAACAAAGTACAGAGCCGCAACAAAGTCCTTATGTGGCTAGCCGGCAGTACTTGGGGCAAAGGCGAAGAAACGTTGATGGAAACAGAAGAGGCAATTGGCCGGCCGGTTCTAAACTACGCAGCGCCAGTGTGGTCGCCGGGGACTAGTAGGACGCAGTGGGTTATGCTGCAGACGACACAAAGCACAGCACTTCGGACAGCAACTGGAAGTCTTCTGATATCGCCAGAACACCACCTGCATGACGAGGCGAAAATGCTCCCCATAAATGAGCACAACACAAAGCTCTGCAAGCATTTCTTAGGGCCGGTTGTTCAATGTCTGATTAGCACTAATAGGAGGTAGAAGCTCTGATTAAATACAACGACTGCTTTATCGATCACATATTATATGCAT